GGGTGAGTTACTATTCCTGTAGTTGTCCCCAGCTGGTCTCTATGAGAAGTGTCCTGAGGCGAGATGGTTTTTCCATGCATCCCTTCTGCACCCTTTCTCTTCTACATTGCCTATTGCTTGCACTCCCTCTGTAGCATTTTCCCACTGTATATTGTATGATTGTGTATGTGTGTGTGAAGCTGGGCATGAATCTTGATTGGATGCTTTGATTTATTCTGCCTCTGAAGAGCTGCATCCCAACTGGCTCAGTTGTGTGGGGTTGGGCCACACACCAATGCCTTCATGTCCCCTTCCCCGCAGTGGTAACTGAGACCTGATGGATACTGCAGTGAACCAGTGTTGTCCAGTCTGGCAATGGTAGGCAGTAAACCTGGGTCCTTTCTGGGGTATGGTGGGCTGGGGGGGACTTTGTTCTTGGCAAACCTTGCCACAAGGAAATTGCAGTGCCGATATAATCCCTGCTGGGAAATGTTTCCTGAGGTATCTGAGCTCCGGGTCAACAACACCCACACTGTAGCTATTAAAAAGGAACCTTTGCCCAGAGCTCTTCTTGAAATACTTTGCAGAAGGATGAGGTAGAGATCATTAGGGCTACAGTTGGGGTCTGCTCCTTTTCCCTCCTCCCTTTGCAAGTTGATCACTGGCCACAGCTGTGGTGCATGTTCAAAGTCAGGTTTAAAGGCTCTGTCTGCTCTCAGGTTGCAAAAGACAAGGGCCTGGACATCTGGGAATGGGGAGAAGAACTTGTTAAAATAACTGTGTGTATCCCAGAAAGAATGCCTCCCTCTCCAGAATCATTAGTGGACCATAATGTGCTTTGGAGATGGAGAATGGTAGCTCCGGTGAGATATGAGCTTGGGGCACATCCTGGGCACAGAGCTGAGGGGCTGTGGGCAAGGTGTTGAAGGTTACTTGGGTGAAACTTTCTGTGAGTTTGAGACCTCAGTCAGTACTTGAATTCTATATAAACACTGTGTTAGATAAACACGTGCATGCAAAACCTCTCAGCGAGGTGTTGTTGGAGGGAAGTGAATGTAGAGGGAGAGCAGCTCTGGCGAGAGCAATGCGGTCCTTGGCACTGTGCAAGCTCCCTGTGATGCCACGGTGCTTGCAGCCTGCTGAATCCTGTCCTGTAGCCCACATATGCTTTGAGGCTCTCCAGAAGGATCGAGGTGTGTTTTCAATGTCAGACAGCTGCCTTTCTTTGCATGACGCTTTTCTCCTTGCAGCTCAGAGAGCAGCAGATCCTTTGTAAGCTTGTCTGTTTCTTTACTGTGTTGGTGGAGGTGCCTAAAGGTCTCAAATCAGATTCTGAAAGCTTACAGTATTGGAAATTGGTAGCGGTTCTGAAAATGTTGGCGAGACTGAGTGGCTCGATACAGACATTAGCTGATGGCCATTTGGATATGCTTTCACCTCAGCCAAGTCCTCGCCCCATTGAAGCTGATGGGAATTTTCCTTGAAAAAAGCCATAATAAAATTGCATTTTCTTGCCATGGGGGAGGTGTTTCATGTGTTCAGGAGAACTCCAGCTATCTGCTTTGATTCTTGCTACACTTGTCACACCCTGCACAAAGCGCTCTACCTTTTGATCCAAAATAGCACAGAAGATGTTTTCCACATGCCATAGGAAAATGGAAGAACTATAAAACGTAATTGTTTTGGAGTTTGGCACTGCTTTGTTCACAGATATATTTAGTGTGAATTGAAATTGGTCAGCAAAAAGGCGTTTGCTGGGATGACAAATGGATTAAGATTGTGTATCTGACTTGATTGCGTACCTGCCCATCCCATGCTGGTGGGCTTGGTAGGTGGCTGAATTGATCTATAGTAATAAACATGTATGGACATCTCTTTTCTCTTGAGCAGCATTACAAAGTATTATTTGGCTGTAAATGGTACTATTTGGCTCTGTTCTTCCAACGTCAATACTCAGTGTTTCTGCTCCTGCCATTGCTGCCTGGTCCCTTTTAGCTCTTCAAAATGAGACCCACCAAACCTGAAACTCTTCCATGAAGGGAAGCTGGGACTGATCTTCTCCATTTTGACCCCTTTCCTAGTTGCTGGAGTATGGGGAAGCCATGATTGATGACTTGAATGAATGTGAGCAAGAGGACAGGAAAAACAGGTCCTTCTTGACCTTAAGCCATCTCTGGTAGTCCCAAGTCAGTCAGAACTGCTAAGGAGCAGCATGGGCTTTGGGAGATGGAAAAGCTGTGCTGGGGATCTGGACTCAGCCCTAAGTGGATCAGCTCAGCAGCAGGGAGGAAATCTTGCAGTTGATAGCAGCTGGACCTCTTTGGCCTTCACTCTGGGTTTGTTCCTGTGGCGGGTGCCCAAGGAGCCAAGACTGACCTCTCCCGTCCCTGAGTGTGTTTGTGCACATAGGCTTGCACGCTCTGCTCTCACCAGGGGTTTTCTTTGGGCTGATATTTGTTAGCATTGGAAAGTGAGAAAAATGAGTGAAAATATTATCAGAAGCGGGTTTTGTGAATGAATCAGCCGACAAGAGGCTTACCAGCTTGCCTTGATTTACTAGAGTGGTGCTTATTTGGGCAGATGTCTATATATTTTAGTTGGAGGCAGAAGAAGCAAGAATTGATTGGGAAGGTCGTTGCATTCATCACACTGCTTCTCTGTCACTCTGTGACAGAAGACTGCTGGTCTTCTGAATGAAGCTGGGCATCACATGGCATCCAAAATACAGCCTTGCTACACTCACTCTCTTCATGTTGTTGATGGTTTCATGATGTCACTGAGAAGACAACAAAAAAGTCAAAAGGCTAAAGCCCTCCTAAAGTGGCTCATTGGGATTCAGCTTCTGGCTAGCCTTGCTCATCTTCTGCATGCGACTTTTTCATTTGATCCTGTCTGAAGGGCAGCCTTGTGGCCTTCTCTCTTCTCATTGTGTGTTTCTAATTAACGGGGAGTCTTGTGGATAAATAGAAGATTCCTGCTCCAAAGTATTCCTTGCCCAGCTCCTCGGATGATAGCCAAGGCAGCAACTGCCAGGCAGCAGCCCAGACATTGAGCTCGCCCATCTGGCTATCAAGCCTCATCCAAATTCTTGTCTGGAACCAGTATTGAGGAAAGTTACGTGCTTTGCCAGATTGGTTTTGCCCCGTGTTTGCTTTTCAGTTGCTACCTAAGCAGCTTTAAAACTTGCAAACAATACTCATTTAGTATTTCTGGGAAGTGTGCTGATCCCAGTACAGAGAGATTTGGGGCCAAAATCAAGAGCAAGTTCAAGAGGATATTGGACAGATCCACAAAGGATGGGGTCCTTTGGTGGCTTTTAAATCTTGTCAAGCAGATGCAATTTCCAGCACAGATGTGATGTTGCTACTTGTCTCTAGCACAAGTTGGGAATGGTCCTTTTGAGGTACATCCCCAAACAGATGCTGATGGGAATGGGATGTTGGGATGTGTCTGATCCAGCCCTCTTGGACTGCTCTGCTGTCAGTCTACAGACAGCCACATGTTTTCTGAGTAATTGTGGACAAAACTCGTCTTGCATTTTCCCCTCTGGGAACCTAGGGTAGTAATACACTATGGTGCACTATGGACAAGAGCTCAGGAAGCTGTGACATAAATAAAACATTTGTTATTATCATGTTTTTGCTCTGTATCAAGACAGTACAGTGATGTTTTATCAGGACATAACAGTGCAGCTTCTAAAAGGAAGGTTGGATATTAGGAAAAACTTCTCTGAAAGAGTGGTTGGGCAATGGAATGGGCTGCCTGGAGGTGATACTGTCCCCCAGTGTCCCTGGAGGTGTTCAAAGAAAGTGGAGATGTGGCACTGAGGGATGTGGATTAGTGGGCAGTGTTAGTGGTAGGTGGACGGTTGGAGTGGGTGATCTTAGAGGTCTTTTCCAATTTTAATGAGTCTTCATTGCTTCTAGATGTGAAAATCAAGATGCTCTGCATGCTTAGACTTAGAGAAAGCAGGATGGACTCATAAATGAAGTGCTATTATGTGAACTAAATCATTGCGAGCCCTTTTTCGTTCATGGTTTAATGTGATTTCTTATTATGAGTATCTAGGGTGCAGGTTGGACTAGATGATCTTTGTGTGGTCTTTTCCAACCGTTACGATTCTATGATAAAGCTGAGATCAGAAATGCCAGTTCCATTCTGGACTGTGTTTGTTTGTGAATGTGAGCCTGAGTGCTCTGATTTTCCTTGGTATGCAAAGATGCTTTGTGTTTGTCACCTCTATAGGACCAGAAGGATAGATCAGAGGGTGGAGGAGGTGAGAAGAGCCCAGTGTTATCCCAGCGTTTTTGCCAGCTGATTTTGAAGTGGCTGGATTAGGTAGGGGTCTTGTGGCAGAGCTGGTATGCCACATAGGATGGTTCTGCAGTTAGAAGAAGTGCTCAAATCCAGCAGTAGATAGGCTGTGTGCTAGCAGCTGAATGAGTAATGTACCACATGACAAATGATGTGAAAGATGATATGGCAGGGATGATTACTGAAATGGCAGGATCTCTGCGGGAAATTAGGGTGGCCATAAAAGAGAGGCGAGGTATTTTTGAAAGCGGTCCTGAGAATTTATTTTAGCACATTAATATTGAGTAAGTATTCCTGGAGATACTCTAGGGGATGATAGATGGACTCAAGGTATTGTTACTAATCACTGTGGTTTTCAGTTTTGGAGCAGAAACACACTTGGCATCGTTAACCCAACTGGACTTCTGATGGGAAAATTACATTCTTCGGGAAGTAATTTAGAAGGTCAAAGAAAAATCAAAACGAACTTCTCCAGCAGCGATTTCCCCTGCTCTCTAAACTGTCTTTTAGTGCAGTAATAATAACTCCAGAATGAAAGAATCTATTCTCACCTTCCAGATGAAAGAGCTAATGCAATTTAAAATTTTTGCATGCAAAGGTTTTATGGCTTGGTAACTGGCCACGCTTGAAAGCAATCCAGGATGGGATGAACCCCTGAGAGGCCTGGCTGAGCTTGACCCTTTCCTTGTCTCTTCTCTCTCCTACAGACAATGGTGATGACCGGTCTGAGAGCATCCTTGCTGAGAACCATGTGGACAGCACTGGGGGGATGTTGAGTGGAGCCAGCAGCAGGAAACCCATTAAAACAGGCATGAAGGAGCTGGCGGTGATGAGGGAGAAGGTGAACGAGCAGCAGCGGCAGATGGGCAAAGTGGGCAAGGTCCATCACAACCATGAGGATTCAAAGAAGTCGCGGATGCCGACAGGCAGGGTGAGAGGAGAAGGGGGGGGAGGCAGAGCTCAAGGATATGCAGAATGCAAAAGTGACAGTTACAACAAACTGCCTTTAAAAGAGAAAAGAGGGGAGGGGAAAAAAAAAGAGAAAGAAAAAGAAAAGCAAACGTTTATTTTGGCCTGAAGCTGAGATTGAACGCACCATCTGATGAACTTTGATATGCTGGCGAGGAGGCGTTATTTTCATTGCAGCTTCACATTCTGACAGCAGAGCTGGAGAAGGGCGGTCTTGCTGGCTCAGCACCAGCCCCCGCAGGCTGTGAGCACGCCCCTTGCCTGCAACCCAGCTTTTGCACACCCTTTTTTCCCTAAGCAACTCCCCAGGGATGGTGTGCGGGATTTATGGTGTGGAACTCTGCCTGCTGGAGGATAGCCTCAGTGCAGACTGAGGGTGAGCCTGAGAATAGGCTATATGGGGTTGTCAAGAAGCAGGATGGTGCCCAATGTCCTATCTGGCCTGCTGCCCTCCTGTCCTTGGCCATGGTTTCCCTCTAGTGGGCAGCTTGGTCAAGGCAACTAGATGGCATGGGGATGAAAAGCCACCTCCAAAATTTTTGTAATATTTCTATATCAACACGGGGTATTTATATCTGAGGAGCACAAGGACGGAGAGGAACTTTGAGAACCTCACCTCCAAGGAACAGTCAGAGCAGCTGTTTGTGGTCTCATCTTCCTAACATACACTTCATGTGCTGTCCCAGATAAACCTTGCAACTGCAGTCCTTTAGGTCAAATTTAGCCTAACAGGTTGATGTCTGTGGGACAGATGTGGCTTTGTGGCATGGTGCTGGCACCATTGGCTTAGAGAGTCCCCACAGTGCTGCTGCTTGTCTAGGAGAAAAACAGCAGATGCAGAAGGCAATGAGCTGCAGAGTTGCACTGGCTAACACCAGGTGGACTTTAACTGGACTGCCTTGGCTCGGTACTAGCCTTTGGAGTTAGGTATTAGTTTGCTCTTTACCATGTGAAGATTTGAAGTTATGACATGGAAAATGGTCCCTTTACCAGGATGTACATTTGTTGTTTATTTGTTTTCTTGGCTTTTTTCAGACCCCTTGTCAGCAGGAGCTGGATCAGGTCCTGGAGCGCATCTCTACCATGCGACTGCCGGATGAGCGAGGTCCCCTGGAGCACCTCTACTCCCTCCACATCCCCAATTGTGACAAGCATGGCTTGTACAATCTCAAGCAGGCAAGTAGGAAGAGCAGGAGCCCTGGAGCCAGCTTGCATTCTTGGCAGCATCGCTATGCTCAGCACTGCACAGAGATTATGCCCAACTCCTAGGGTGGCAGGAAGCAGGTCCCAGGGTGTGGGGACTGCCTGTCTGCTGTCCAGACCCAAAACATGGGGCAGTTGCATTTCTCATCAAATTGTCATCACTAATAGGATGAGAGCTGAGTTTCTGCTTACCCTCAGTACCTCTGTAGTGTAGTAAGCCTTTGTTCCACCACAAATTAAATGATTATATCATAGTGGTTTCCTAACAAGGGTTACAAGCATTGCTGCACCACTGCCTCCTCTTTTCTCTTGCTTCTTCCTAGATTGAACGTCTGCAGCTTTGCAGGAGATATGCAGGAGGACAAGCTGGGGGGCAGTATGGGTGTGGGCTGTGCACAGAGAATGATGAGAGAGATGATTATTCTGTTCAGGTTGGAAACAGGAGCTGAAGCTTTTCTGGCATGGGCCTCTCCCAGGAGAGGCTTTTACCTGTGCTGACTGCTTCCTTTCCTCTCTGTTTCATTTCCACACTTTCCCTGAACAGTTTTGCCCAGCAAAGCTTTGTAGCCAGACAAAATCAACCTTACCAAACACAGGGCCTGGATCAGAGCTGGATGCATGATATCTGCAGTGAGAGGAATGGTCATAGGCTCTGGGGGCATCAGCAGATGTTGCAGTAGAATCTACAGCCAGACAGAAGCTCTCTTAAGCAACAAAGCACCATCTGGGGACTGGCTTGCATTGATAGTACCTGGATGTGAGCACCTCTCATAGCTGTGCAGAATGATCCCTTGGAGAAGAGCTAGACATCCTGCTGTTTTCATGGCTAAGTTTTTTTTTTTGTTTTTTTGTTTTTTTGTTTTGTTTTTGTTTTTTGGTTTTTTTTGAAGAGCTACTTCCACCCCTTGGTTGGGAGCATTTTTTTTTTTTTTTTTCAGAAAAAGAAAAAGCCAAAAATGTTAGAAGAGAGCAGATTGCTCTGAGATAATCTTGCTTTGTCCTTTCTCTTCTCTGCACCATGCAGAAGTTACATGTTGGTTGTAGCTGCAGAAAAAGGAAACAAAAATGCTGTCTCTTCTGCCTGCCCTGGGTGAAGACAAACATGAGGCCATTCCTAGTTTTCAGTCCATCTGGGTTTCCAGAGCTGAGTGTCAGCTCCTTTTCCTTGGTTGGAAAATTGGAGATGCCAATAAAAGCATTCCTGGCTGCTCCGGCCTCCTGTGAATCAGGACAAGGTGGAGGGTGCCTTAATATGCTCTCATGCTGGAGAGCATTTTTTTAATTACTATTTTTATTTTTATCTTTTCTCCTACTTTTTTCCCCCCCGAGCAAGGCTGCATTCTAATCTCAGTCCAGCTGCAGAAAATGGCTTGAATTCAGCTTTGCAGAATGCATACAGAATCTGCTGTAGGGGCTGGATCCTGCTGTGCCATGTTCAGGGGTGTATTTCTTTTGGGTATGGGGGGATGAGCACCAGGTAGGTACAAGGTGCCTACAGCCTTGCAAAGGCAAGGGGTGGATGATAGCCATTACAGCAAGAAACTTCTCTCTTACCAGAGCAGGCTTTGGAGTATAGAGGCCATGTCCATGCTTGCTGTGGTCACTGCTTCTGTGCTGGGATTGAGATCCTGTTCCCCAACATAGCAGAGTGTGTCCATGGCCTGTGTTGTCACGTTCAGTTTGTTTAACTCAATTTGCAGGCAGAATGAAGCTTATGCAGCTGCTCTGTAAGCATATTTCATCCCTACTCACCCAGGGATTGTTGAGTCTCTAGGTGCTTTCATCCACAGTTGAAAGAGAAATGTAATTTGGGGATGATTGTCCTCATGGTTTATTGAAATCAGCTCAGTGGTCCCATCCGTAGAATCTCTGATGTTGGAGAAGACCACTAAGATCATCTAGTCCAGCCATCCGTGGTTTGAGGGAAGAAGCAGTGATGATGCTACAGCACAGGCTCATCCAAGCCATCTGTGCTGAATCTCCAGAGAAACTATGGGGGTGAGGGTGGTCTTCTCTCTGTATCTCCTCAGCTGATGTCTGCTCTATCCCTCTCTCTGCAGTGCAAGATGTCGGTGAATGGGCAGCGTGGAGAGTGCTGGTGTGTGGACCCCATCCATGGGAAGGTGATCCAGGGTGCACCCACCATCCGTGGGGACCCCGAGTGCCACCTCTTCTACACAGCCCATGAGCAGGAGGACCGGGGAGCACACGCCTTGCGGAGCCAGTAGATGGATGTAATCCTGCTTGCTGTGGCCCCGGTGCTGGATTTTTTACATGGGTTTCAGCATGTCTCTTTTAGGCTCTGGAAGAGACCGGGGTTGGGTCCTGTGTGCTGCCCTCCTGCTGCCCCAGTTCTTGGGGAGGGAAGAGATGACAGGAGGGGAAGGGTGGGGGGGGGAGGGGGGGGAGGTTGCAAGGAGAAGGGACTGCTTTCCTATAGTCTTTTGCCCAATGTCAGCCAGAGAACCAGTCTTTTTTGCTCCTCGCCCCGTGGCCCTGCCCTCCCTGCTGCTTTGTGGCGTATTCTTGCAGGCAAAACATCTAACCATGGGTGGGAGGGGGAAAGAAAAAAAAGAAACAACAAAGTTCCATTTCCCTCTTCCTCTCTCCCTTCCCCGAGACCAAAGACTGTAAATACTGCCTCTTGTGTCCTGCCTGTCCCCTGTGTTTTGGCCCTGGAGTGGGATGTGGTGTGGGAAGGAGGGAAGTCCCTATATTCCAGTTGGAGTGTGGCAGGATGATGAGCTGCGTTCCTCAAGGGGGCACTGCCGGAGGATAAGGACGAGGCAGCCCCCTGAACCACCACTGGTTGCAGCCAGCCCTGCTGCTCTGGGAGGATGGGGCCTTTGGGTGACTGTGGAGCTGAATGCTTGGTTTTCTGAGGGGTTTGGAGGGCTGCTGCCCGGTATTTCTTAGGATTGGCTTAAGCTGAGGGAGCAAAAGTGAACTTGCCGGGGCTGGGTGGAAGGATGCCTGTGTAGATTTAGGATAATAAGCCAGGGAGTGTCTCTCTTTCTTTCTTTCTTTCTAGATAGGAAAAACCCATCTAAAACCTGCACTCCCAGCAGCTGCTCTTGTCCCTCCATTTTCGCTTGGGACAGGAGTGAGCATCTGCTTTTCAGCACACACTTTTTTTATTGTAAGTACAGTATGTACCATGCTTTGTAAAGGCCCAGACACACACGCACCCCTCTGCCCACATGCATGTTTGTATAGGTTAAATCCAAGCAATTGCAGGCGCTCTGAGATGTTTTGCACTGGATGTGCTGCTCTGAGGACTGATGTCTCTGCCATTACTTCACCTGTTGATTCTTTCTGTACAGAACACACCGACGCTGAGAATAAATAACTTCCCTATCGCCGAAGCAAGGAGACTTGTTCTTCCTTCCCCCCCATTTTTAATGTGGGTTCCATTGCAAAACAATTGCAAACATTCTTATCCTTACTACAGTAAGGGGAGAAATATGGAGTTTTTTGTGGGACCTTGGGCAGGGCTGGGATGGACCCACAGAGGGGTTGAGGGGTGCTGCCAGCATGCTCTCCTTGGGGTTGTGGGGCAAACACTGCTCACTTGGGCACTTGAGGCTGGGGAAAGAAAAGCAAAAAGCCCAAAACTCTGCGGCAGTGGGAATGCTGGGGTTTGTTACTGTTCCCTCCCCCCTTTCCTGGCCCGAAGTTTTCCGAGCGCAAAGATCTGTGCAGGTTGAACTCTTCATGTCCTTGCAGGAGTTTGGAAGTGTCAGTGGAGGAGAAAAGGAAAATGCTTTGGGGCTGTGGTGGGAAAGTGAGAGAGAGGTGTGTGTATGTGAGAGGGAGAGAGGGAGAGAGAATGTGCCTGAATGCAGAACTGAGTAACTGTAAAAATGATGCTACCTGCTGTCTTCTGTTAACAGCACAGTGTTCAGCTTTTCCATGTAAACCCTGCACACTCTGGCTGTCAGCTGCAGTTTGTACAGTTTGTACTTTTTGTTTTGTTTAGGAACCAGGAAGTTTTCTTCTTGTGTTTTTTTTTTTTTTCTTTTCTCTTTGGGAGACGTTGAGCTGCATAAAGTTGGAATAAATTAAATAGGATGCCAGGAAACTGTCATCTTCCCCCTCCCCAACCTTTTCTATTAAATAGAGCACGTTTTCTTGCCTGTTGCATCACACACAAACTTGGGCTTTTGCCCTGGGGGTGTTGTAAATGCTGAGCCCAATGAGCATCATTGGGAATTTGGTTTTTACCCCTACTAGTCCCAGTTGTGTGAGCTGGGAAGCCCTGGTGTCACCCCATCCCCTCTCTTCCTGCTCCGCGGGTGTTTCTGCTGTTCTGCACAATGCAGCCATGCCTTTGAGTCTTGTCAAGTCAGCATCTGCCCAACACATGTGCAGAGGCAGTTTTGCTGCCTGATGGCAGACAGGTTTGGTGGAAAAAGGTGGTTTTTGGCAAAAATGTTGTTGCTGGGAGACGTGCTGTAGGAGTACCCTGTTCTAGCTGGGAGCTGTGTGAGAGCTTTGCAGGGGCACAGAGTCCCTCTGCTCAGCACTGGCACCCCTGGGACTTCAGCAATATTTGGATGAAGGTCAGCTCCTCCCAGATTCCCAGCCTTCAGGATTTTGGGTGCTTTTCAAGTTGGTGCTTGCAGCCGGTCATGCTGTTTGTCAGCCAGCAGATGGACCTGTTCTCCAGGGATCATCCTGGGCCTTGCTGGTTTTGTCTCTACTGCCTATGCAAAGAGTTCTTGGACTGCAGAAGGAAAATCTCTGTGGCCAAAAGGAGCTTGGGATGCCATGGCAAAGCAAAGAATAATGATAATAATTGCAAGCCATGCTTAACAGCTGAAATTGCAGTGCTGAAGGAAGAGGTTCTGCATGGCCGGGGCTAACCAAGGCCGTGGCATGGAATGTGCTGTGGGTGGGCCTGATGGGCATGGGGTGATGGTAACAAGGAAGCGTAGCCCTGAACTGGCAGTGTGGAAAGCCACCTTTCAGTGCTGGCATGGCTGACAGTTCAGCAGCAGTGCTTTCCTGCCTGCCAGCACAAATGCCCTGGTGTTGGCTGATTTCCTTGGGCTGTGTATCACTGAGGGGCAGTGGGATACAGGCCCCACAGTCTGCTCTGGCCCCAGGGTGAGGAGCCCATTGCAGATCAGGCAGCTGGGTCTGGTGGTGCAGATAGGGTAGTGGACGTATCTTAGCAAAGCCCAGCCACCTGTTTGGGGATAAAGGGGATATTTTTTGTCTCCTGTGCTGCTCTGGGTACATGGAATGATGTTGGCAACTGATGCAGATGGTGGGGATGGGGGCATGGGACAAAGGAGTGTGTGGGAATATGAAAAGTTGTGTGAGCAGAAGGGGAGGACGTGGGTGGTGGGAAGGGGCGCTGAGGACTGTCATGAGGTTGCTGAAGACTACAGCCTGGCTGGGCTCATATGCCCTGCAGGGATGGGATGGGGACATTGCTGCTCACTGAGATGTTTGGGTAGGACTTCCCGCTGCCTGGAGAGCTTTGAGGCTCAGATACCACATACTAAAGTGTTGAGATTTGGGATAGCAGCTGGGTGCTCAGCATTATGGACTCCAGATCCTTGGAGGCATACAAGAAAATGGTAGATGTAGCACCAAGAGCCATGGTTTAGAGTGGTCACAGGCATGGGTTGATGGTTGGACTAGATGATCTTGGTGGTCTTTCCAACCTTAATGATTCTATGGCTCTACAATTCTTTTTCCCTTCATGACCCAGCAGAACATGGGTGCTCCGACGCCACCCCTGCAAATAAGCATCTAAAAAATTGCAGCTTAGCAGTCAGGATGCTCTAAGCTCAACCTTTCAAATTTACCTCTGTCTTAGCAGTGTTCTCTGGGGTCTAAAGCCTGCCTAAGCCATTGCCACTAGGTCACCTTGCCCTGTCGGACCCATAGAGCTAGCTGAGCCCTCAGGCACAGTGTGCTGAGGGCAGGGCTGGCACGCAGACACTCTACGAGGGTCAGGCACAAGCTAACTGAATGCATAACTTTATTAAATAAATGCTTTGTCATGAGAAAAGACAAAGATCAAAGAGTAACATAAATTATAAGTTGAATAAATAGTATACAGCAATCTTCACTTTTTAATAAAATGTGAGATTTTTTTTTTTTTAAGTACAAAATGCTAAACAGAGCATTAAGCTCTTCTTCCATTGTCAGTTTTTCACAAACTGCTTTTTTTTTTTTTCCCACCAGTAAGATTATGAGTATTTCTTGTTTACTGGAAAAAAAAAAAACAAACCAACAAACACAACAAAAACAAAACAAAAAAAAAAAAAAAAACACCGAAAAAAAAAAAAACCAAAAAAACAGAGCTACCGTATGTATGTAAAGCTATAAAAAGCTACCGTAAAATGTGTAGTGAGTATTGCTTAAAGGTTAAAAAAAAAAAACAAAAAACAACAAAACAGGCAGGAAACTCGGAATCTGGTGTGTGAACGACTGTGGTACAATGGTGGGTGATGTGTGCGGTGACGTCTGTCCCGGTGGCAGTGGCGGGCGGGTGGTGGGGCTGGGGATGGGGCACGGTGAGCAGGGCTCCTCGCCAGGGCCAGGACAGCTGTCTGGAAGCGAGGTGAGCTGTCAGTTGTTAAATATACAATGCTCCGTTTTGGGAAAAACAAAGCAAAACAAAAATAAAAAAATAAAAATAAAAAAAAAGAAAACAAAAAACACCAACAAGAAAAAAAAACAATTTTTTTTTTTTTTTTTCATGGAGAAGGCAGAGAAAAAGAGAAGGGGGAAGAGAAAGAGAGCGGAGAAATAGTGCAAAATGCTCTTGTACTAGTGGTTTTCGAAGGCCACTGCAGTACAGACAAGGGGTAACCCAGCTGCTGAACATCTCTCATGGGAGATGTGGTCCAAGGACTGTCCTCACCCCTGCTCCAGCTGTTTTCTCACCATGCGGCCGCTGGTGTGCAAAATGGCCAGCAACTCCTTGTGCGCCTCTCTCACCGCAGCTCTCCCAGCTCCCAGATGAGTCTGTTCTGCTTATCCCACCACAAAATCCAAAGCAAGTCCCTCTGCCTCTCTGCTGGAAGTGGTGATGCTTTGTCACCAGCCAATGGATTCTGGTGCCTATGAGTCCACAGCTGGGACCCACTTTGTACTGGGAGGCTGGAGAGTCCTCCTGCATCCCCCTCCCAGTGTCACCATGGTGGCCATGCCATGAGGCCACCACCTGACTGCTCTGCACCCCCCCAGGAGGTGAGTTTACCTCAAAATACATGTTCCTTGTGGACCTGCTGACTCTCTGCCCGCTCCCATTCTGCCCACCCCTAGGCAGCACGACTCCTTTCTCTGCAGCCAAAGGCTTTCAAGTTTTGGGAAATCAAACAATAAAACAAACAAAAATAAACAAAAGCAAGAAGGAGAGGGAAGAAGAAAGGAGGTAGGGCACTGGGGAAGGTGGTACTGGCCTATAATACTGGGTTTTGTACTGGGACCGGCAGTCTGGGGAGAGAGGAGACAGCATTGATGGTGATCTGTGACCTTGGGGGTTGACACTGCTCCTCCACCTCCCGCTATCTTCACCCCACCTTCATCCTCCACCCAGCTCGATCTGACCTTACTTCATTTGCCCCAGCCCCAGCTCCCCTCCAGCAATATGGCACAGGGACTACCCCATCACCCCATTCCTGCATTCCTTTTTTCAGTAGGGGGAACAAGATCCACATATGGTGGCAGTTCCCTCTTCTTTTCAGCATAGGAAGGCACCTCACTCCCAGCTCCAAATGTACCCCACTGGTTTTCATGGAAGTCTGCTGGCAAAATCAGGAAGCCATCCAGTCCTGCCCTCCATTGAGGCAAGCATCCTTGTGGGTTGCCCACGGGGTTGATCCCATCCCATGGGACACTACAGTGACGGCACTGAACCAGTCATGGGGAGAAGCTTCCAACAGAGCTCCTCAGCACCCATTTTCCCCTCATCTTGGCCCCACTGGTGCTGGGAATCCCCTCTTCTTCCTTATCCAGCCCCAGGAGGTTCAGACCAGCACTAGGGGACACATTGGATGCATCCCCCCCCCCAGGATCAGATGTATACTTCAGATGTCTCCAGGTACACATTCACGTGCCAGGGCCATTATGCCCAGACCCCATGACTCATCTTTACTGCAGGATATCCTCCCAGCACAGCCACCACAGAGACCCTTGTCATGGGGAATTGAGTCCCAAAATCCAACATGGAAAATAAAAAACCCAATGAAATAGTCAGGAAGGCGGCTATCAGCTGTCCAAGCACACTTGAGGCAGTGGGTCTCCACACTGCGGTGGCTGCTGTTGCTGAATGAGGATTTGGGTCCTGGGTTACAAGTCCTGAAGACCTGTCGCAGAGCTCAATGCAGGTTGGGGAGTTGGCAGAGGGAGTCAGCAATGGCAGATGTCAGCAGTGTCCGCAATGCAAAGGATGGACGCTGGTGTTTTCCTACCCCTGGGAAAGGCTATAATCCAGCCTTAACAAAAAACCAAGACAAAACAAGGTCTTTTGTTTCCCCCTGGAGCAAACTATTCTTTTTTTGGCTGTGAAAAAAAAAAAAAAAAAAAAAAAATCTCTATAGTTGGCCTTTGCCATGTCAGTAAGGGTGGCGAAGGGTTTTGTCCCCAGTTTCCCTGTCCCAATATATGCCTGCTTCACTCTGGGGAGTGATGGAGCATCCATGGAGCTGACATAGATGGAACACCTCTATAACTCTCTTCCCTGCTCAGTCTGGCAGCTCTTCCCCTGCTTACAGTGAAGCCCTCAAATTGCATGTTTCCAGGCAAGGAGGAGAAGTCACATCTGTGCACATGCATGCACGCCACAAACACTTCCATACCCACATGGGTGACGTTCAGAGTCTCACTTGTCCAAAACTCAGATTTCTGGCCTCCCAAGTCCAGAGGAGTCGCATTGAGAAGGGTATGTATCCCTTTTGGATTGTTTCTTTTTGATATTCACGAATACTATGGGGAGTATTCATGCCGTTGCAGAAGCTTTGTGTCCCTCCCCAGCTCATCTCCAGGTGCGCAGTGAATCCTGCTCCTCCTCTTCCTCCTCCTCATGTTCCTCCCAGCATGGTCCAAATCTGCTTGGATCAGGGTGGTCATTTGGGATGGAGATAAGAATGACTTGAATGCATCCCAGCGATACAGGGAAGAAACTCCAGAGGAACGGAGCAAGGAGGGGAGACGCTGATGGCTGCAAGGTTTTCTCTCCAGACCCTTTGGAAAATGACTAGCTAACAAAAAATCAAAAATAAATGAAAAATTAACCCCGCCTGCACCCCGTACTAGAAAATCACCAACTCGGAGAGCTTTTTACATCGGCATGGGCTCTGCTTGACGTCAGGGGTGCGCAGGCAGTGCAGGGAGAGGTGCGGGACGGCGGAGCACCCAAAGCTGGCTTGTCTCTGGCTCTGTCCTTTCCTTGCTGAGTCCTTGTTGTCAAGACACTGCTGTAGATTCCGAGTCCTCAGTCTCTTCAGGGTTTGTATTTCTCTTTTCTTCTTTCGTTTCCTTTTTCCTTTTCTCCTTTTCTTTTCTTTTCTTTTCTTTTCTTTTCTTTTCTTTTCTTTTCTTTTCTTTTCTTTTCTTTTCTTTTCTTTTCTTTTCTTTTCTTTTCTTTTCTTTTCTTTTCTTTTCTTTTCTTTTCGTTTTTTTTTTTTTTTAAACTTTTCCTTTCTTCTCTTTTTTTTCTTTTCCTTTTTCCTTTTCTTTGTCCCTTATTTATCTTTTTTGTTCTGTTCCTCTCTTTCTCTTTTTTCTTTTCCTCTCTTTTATTCTTCTTACATGAGATGAAAGGAATCGGAGTCCTGGGGCGCAGGGAGGTGCGGAGGGGAGGGTGGAAGGGAGCCTGGGTGGGTGGTGATGGGGCAGAGGGAGGGGATGCGACTTCACTCCACGTTGCTGCTGTCGAATGCGTGACACTGCAGGTCTCCACTCAGGTAGTCAGTCCCCGGCAGCTTCATGCCATATTTGTCCACACACCAACACAGCCCACGCTTCCGTCCCCGGGAGGGCTTGCACTGAGGAGAGACACACAAATGCAGAGATGAGGAGCTTGCCACCACCCTCCAATGCCTCCTTTGTGCTAGGACTGAGGCTCAGCCTTGTGCTTTGCTTCTTTTACTTCATCATCTCCATCTCCCAGCTTGGAGCTCTCCATTTCCTTTTACTCCACCTGCTCGTACAGGATGCTAGACTCAGGCTGGAGGATGCTCTGAGCCACCAACAAGGCCAACCCCCACCAACCATGCCTGGAGAGGCTTACTGCAATCTTCCCATTAGCCCAGTAGAAGAAAAACCTCAATTCTCTTCATCTGGTTGTGACAGAATAAAGCCTCTCTGTGTGGGGAGCATCCCTGCCTCTGCAGGGCTCTTACCTGCTTCCTCTTATAGAATCCCTTTCGGTCGCAGTTGGGGAGATGCACAGCACGAGGGACCATCCGCTGGCTGCTTTTCAGCTCCTGCAGGGAGGCCTCCATGTGCCTGCGGCAAGGGCCCTGTGGGGGAGGAATAGATTATGTTAGGCAGGGAGCCTTGAGCTGCGAACGTCCCCTGGTCCCTCCTACCGGTACCCCCTGCCAGAGGCACAAAGCCCTCCCGCAGCCCCCCTTCCATGGGGCAAAGTGGGCAGCACCCACCAGCTCAAACTCTTGCCGGAGCTCGGGGATGACCACGCGGGGATGTGCTGTGTTCTCTGCCATGCCCACAAATTTGGCTAAGGTCAGCTTCTTCCGGCGGTCCTTCTTCAGAGCCTCAGCTTTGAGGTCAGAGAGGCGGCCATGCTTGGGCCGGTAGGCCTTGGGTGGGTAGGTCTCCTCCGTCATCTCCGATGTGGTCGGCTCCTCATGCTCACGGGATTCCCGTTCTGGAAGGAAAGGGATACAGAACTGTCAGGCCTCCAGCAGCTGACAAGGGTTTTGCTTGCCCAATCCTGTGCCCAAAGATGCCCTCCTTGAAAGCCTTTTTCCAGCTCCTTCCTACAGCCCTGGTTTTATCCCAAGTTTTTGGGACTTGGTGTGTATTTCATGTGATCCCAAGCTCAGGACAGGAAAGTGTCTTTCTGGGCATGGAGGAGCTGGGGGGTCTTGAATGGGATCTTACATACAAAGCCACCATGGTTCTCAGTGTTTCAGTAGAGAATGACTGATTATCTGGATGGTTATCCCTCACCCAGAGAGGACCAGAGAGGACCAGAGGGGAGAAGTCCCTCTTTAGCAATAGCAGGAGGATTAAGTGATAAGCTCACATCTCAACCTTGCACATGCAAGAACAAAAGCCAGGGATACTCAAAGACGAGATGACTCCAAAGTCAAGGATTATCAATTAGCAAAACTGCCACACTGCTGGACAGACACATTGGCAGTGATGCTGAAGACATTGACCAGAGTCATCAGCTTGCAGTAATGCAGGTAAAGCCAGAGGCAATGCTGCAGAGTAATGTTGCCTGAACACAGCTATCACTGATGATACCAGGGGCAAGGGAGGAACACATTTAGGCTCTGCCCATGGCCCTCTGCACCCCCTCACATCGCCTCAGCATGACCTGCGCCGGATGGATGCAGTCAGGAGCCCTACTCGGATATATATAGGAGAGAGCTGATGACAGTCTAAACTTAGCTGACTTGTGACCTTTAGTACAGCCACCAGAGTGAAAAAGGGCTATATCTGGACTAAATCTGAATACGGTTTAAAGCTCCTGAGGCTGCTGTCTCCCAGCCCGTGGTTCCCAGGAGTCCAGTACTGATGCTGCCAGGTTTGTGCTGGGACCAGCAGGCAGGCATGGGAGAAGCCACTGCAGCAGGCTGACAGGCACCAGAGAGGCTGAAACAACAAGGAAGACAAGAGTGACCCTGCAGGTGGCTGCCCCATCAGGCTGCACATGGGTGCATGCAACCTGTGGGTGGCCCTGGAGATGGCTGAGGGGACAGGCCAGTCACTCCGACTTTTCAAAGCTGGCAAGATTTCCATAGACACATATTTACTAAAGCAGCCTCCTTTTTCTTTCTTATTCTTCCACAAGAACACAGGTTGATCGGCATACCAGACTCAGCACCCTCCAAACTACCCAAAGCAACACAAATGATCCCATCCATCATCTTTGGGACTTGCATGTATATCCAGAACAGGATCCTCTTGCCAATTTGCCCCATGACATTCATGTGCCCATATTTTATGCCTTGTTGCAGGATTTCAAAGTCACTCCTCTATTATAAGGAGATAATGGACAGGGGATAGGGAAGAGATTGATTATATTGGGAATGCACAGAGTGCAATCGAAAAGCACACTTTGCCACAAGATGCTGCTGCAGTCCAAGGTCTGAAAGGAGCCATGAGACACCCTCAGTGAACAAGACCACCCATAGCAGTGATACACTGCCTCTTCTGTCCCTGGAGCCCCCTGGCACTGACTGCTAGGGCATATCCCTGAGCTGCCCTTTCGTAGCAGGCAACCCTACAAGAACAAGACAGGTTGCAGCTCATTACCTGTGCAGTAACAAACAAGAGAGGCATGGTTACCTGGACAGCCCTGAAATAACAAACAGGACACAGTAGTGAGGATTCAGAGAAACAGCACAGAGTGTCCAGTCCCCTGGAATCGTGGTGCAGTGGGTGTTTGCAGCAGCTTGTGTCCACTCATATGCTCAGCAACTTGAGCTTCTGCAAACACCTTGTTCCTCTGCTTCCTGCAAGCTGCCAGAAAGCCAGAGTGGGCTGGGAGCCAGGGGCTAATGTGGAGGAGCCCTTTTGGCAAGAACAGATGGGAAGCAAAGGAGCTCTGCACTCTGCAAAGAGCACAAGGGCTGGTGAGCACTGAAAGCTGCCCAGCTCCCACCTGAGATCAGCTCTTCCTGCAGAGCAGAAGCAGCAAATGGAACCGACACCTTTTGACTCCCTTGAAATGCAGACAGTCATGGAGGAAACAACAGTGCCTGGTTTAGGTCTGTATCTCCCAGTGAGAACTCCATAGATGCCTTTTCTCTGCCCTCCGGTGATTTTTAACCTAATTTCCTCCAGCAACAAGGCTGAAGCTCATGTACCTGTCCATCTGTTCCCTAATTGGATACTAACAAGCCAATTTTGACAAATTGAAGGGCAGAGGTCCCTGACATACAAACTCCTGACAAGCTCTGGGCAGATGGTGAGAGACCTTCATGTTGTCAACATGAGGGGATTGTCAGAGTTGGGGCAGCACTGGCTACCACCAGTCCCTCCCTTGCCCCTCAGCCATCTGAACCTGCATCAACCTGCAGCCACCTCATGCCACTAGAACCGTGTCAGCATCTCCAAAGAATCGTCCACCAGCCCATCTTTACCTAGTGGCTCATTCCTCAGCCATCACCTGCCACACAGGGCAGGCACACAGCAATCAGCATGATGTGTTTTCTCCCAAGGAGATGCCAATGGGAACAACACCCCGTTTCCCTGAAGGAGCCCTAATTGCATCTGAGACTCGGGAGGAAGCAGGAATTTCTCCTCCCTCACCATCACGATCAGGCCTGATGTGTGGCCCCTTCTTGCCCACAGCCAGGGCCAACTCCCATCCACCCTGGCAACACGAGGACAGCCTGTGCACCTCCTCACACCTGGCCCCAACCCAGCTACATCTGGTGGCTGGGTTGTGGGCAGGCTGTGTGCAGAGGCAGGGCTACATTTCCCAGCCTCAGCTCCATGGACAGCAGGAGGTGGGTGAGTCTCACCACTGTCATCCCTTCTACATACTCCTCTACACACTTGAGGAGGTCATCACTGCTCAGCAGATGTCCTAGACTCGGTGGCCACACTGAAGAGTGACATTGCTGAGGATACTGGCTAGCCTGGAGGTAGGACTCCGGCTGCAGCCATCTCAAGGGGATGGTGACCCTATGGCTAAGGCAGGAGACTGAACTCAATTCAGAGCCACCTCATGACTTCATTTCTGGTCCTGGCACTATGGTACCAATGGAGGAACCAAGGAAAAAGCAGAGAACAGCTGGAGACCAACCTGCAGGGCTCCAGCATGCGTCAGGTCAGCAGAAGGGCTGTGTTGCTGATGTCCTAATTTGTACAGGTTCCCATCAGCCCTGGGAGGCAGAATGTACCTTTAGCTGAGTGTGGGCTGTCCCCTGCCCTAGGGGCTGAAGGCTTAGCATCAGGGCTGGCCAGGACAAGTTCTCTAGCAGTCCTTCCCTCCAGGAACTATTTCCACCGTTCCAGTGCAATAGGGACACAGAACAGCAAAATACTGGTCACAGGGAAACCATAAATTTCTTCTGCTGTCCTCGATAGTTGCCGCCTGGGACAGCCTGTGCATCTCCTTACACCTAGCCCCATCCAGCCCCGCCTCTCTCACGCTCCAGATGTTTTGGACACACGTGAAGTCCACACAGGGTGCGCGTGTGCACGTGGGTGTGTGAGAACACTGCCTCCCTGCCCATTTGCACTGCAGAGCTGAGCAGGAAGTGTTTTCCAAATGACTGGAAGGCTTGAATTTTTGTAACAAATTTCCATTGGTTTCTGGCAGGAAGGTAGGAAAAGTACCTATTGACTGCTGCTGCTAATGATCCATGCTCAATACATCCACAGGCCACTGCTAGAGAACTTGCTGTCCTGTTCAAAAACTGGAAAAAAAGCCATGTGCGCCTAAGAAGTACAGGCACAACTATTGCCTCCAATCTTTCTCAACAGCCTATTTGATTACTATCATGATTATTACTATTTACAGCACTAACATAATACACCATTTAAATAGGAAGATGCTAAAGAAAGATACAATGGGGATCTTAGTTAAACCTCAGCATGGGAAAAACAGCATTTCTCCATCTCCATCCTTTCTGCTGTTGCTTCTGGCTGGGCAGAAGAAAGCAGCTTCCCTTGGCTGCTTGTGGCTGGGAGAGGAGAAACATTGGTGCTGCCCCTGAAAGCAGCATCAACACTTGCAGGTAATGTAAAAGATGTGCCTATTTTTCTTTAGATTGGATCTTATGCAGGAATTCTGGGCTCAGGTCTCTGGCTGGTAATAATTCACTTTGTGTATTTCCCCTGTTTGTCCTGACTCCTGACCCACACTAAAATTTGGGATGGGCAGGCAAGTTCTTCTCCAGCCTGCACTTACATCTCTGACCAAGAGAGAAAAGTAAAAATCCCTCCTTCAGCATATAGGGACAGTGTTTGCATTCCCAATGGGCAGGCAGGAATGGGATGCAGAGCAGGAGGGTCAGCTCATCTTGCACCCTTTGGCAGCCAGAGAGCACAACTGACCAAAAGCATTGCTGAGCTCCCCAAAGTCCACAAGGACCAGCCCATTCACCACCCCAATAAAGAAAAGCTCATTTACATTCCCACAGCAGGCACAACTTACAGCGTGGTGATGAATGACCCCTAGCCCTGCTTGGATGAGCACAGAGCTGGCTCCAGCACGATGCCCAGGGCTGGGGTCACTGGGACCACAGCCCGGTGAAGTCAGTCAGTGATGTCAGGCGGCCGCAGCGGCCATCCAGCCAAGGAGGAGGAGCAGCCAGGGCCAGGGATGCAGGCTGCAGCCAGTCCCTCCACTAGCCCAGGGTGTTGGCTGCAGGAGAGCCAGCTGCAACGCAGCTTGGACTTTTGATGAACTTTTGTGCTTTTGTGGAGATTCAGTGGTGGGTCGGTGTGGGAGCATGCTGGTGAGGCTTGAAGGCGATGAGAGACTGGGAGGAGGCACCACACACTGAGAAGGGCTGGAAAATAGCAGCCTGGCTTGGAAAGGACAACTTCTGCCGATGGCCATCCCACCCTCTCTGAGACCACAACATGTGCAACAGGCATTTACAATAGACCTGACACAGAAGCTTTTGGATGGCTAAACGCCATGTCTTGGTCATTGTGGGGATACTGCACCCTCCAAAC